GGACAGAATCAATGACCGTGGGTGTATGTATGTACAATCTCATCTAAACCAAAAATATTATTTTAACAAATAAAAGTTGTCCAAAAACAAATATGAGATCATACAAATTGCCAAGTATTTGATTAGACATAGAGAGTAGAGACAAAAATATTTTATTCCAAATTAGAAAAATCTTTTTTTAATAAATCGTTTAAATTATTCAAAATTATATACAGCAAAAGTTTAATACCATTGTCTTTCCAAATAACTTTAAGTTTCGTAAAACAGACTTAATAAAGTTATTAAAATGATCAATAGAATCATAGTGAAGCAAAAACTTGGCTATTATGTAAAATTTTTTCTTTTTTTTAAATGTTAGTATCTCGATAACTATTGTGAAGATCGCAAAATCATAGAGGATTTTTTTGTTCAGTTTGGTTCACACCGTTCACACTACCTGCCCACAATTAGCGCTGTACCATTGAGTACGAGACACCCGTATAGGTTGTTCTATTGCAAAAATTCAGCCAAAAATTGAGTCCCGCAGCTATAAATATTTCAGATAAAAGTGATATGGTTTGGAGGACAATAAGAAAACCAATTTTCGAAAAAAATCAATTTCTCAAAATTATATAAAGATCATTATTTTTTAAATGGAATTTATTTTTTTACATAATATGATTCTTCTATAATTATTCAGCTTATAAATGTATTATTAAATAATTAATATTTTTGCAAGCAGAATAACTAGAAAAATTATATGTAAAAAAATTACATAATTTTAATAAATCCTTGATGACATCCTTCACGTGACCTCGAAAATTTTTTTCGAAAATTGATTTAATTTGTCCCCCTTCAAATCATATATCTTTCATCTTAATATATTTACAAATCAGATTAGTTTTCAAGATACTATTTCAAATAGAACGCTCTGCATAATTAGATTTTTATTTGAACTTGGATATTTTGTTGGCATGATTACCGACTGTTGTGATACTGACGAAAGAGTATGTACGAAACATACATATATAAGAAATATCCAGAACGTTCAACCAATCAGTCAGTAGGAATTTTTGTCGAAAATTTTTACTTTCGATCAAAACTGAATGAGTTATATGTATAAACTAAACAATAGATATTTGAAAGTATTGTACATTTATTTTGGTGGATTTTTTTCTTAATGTGTACCTACAGTACATACACATACTCACGTACACCCATACATATGTTAAACATCTAAATGCGAAAATAAAATAAAAATTACATAATGGACACGAGTTGAACTGAATAGAGACATACGGAGATATATATTAAAACATAAGTTTTTATGCTGATATTAATAATGATATATTATATAGCACACGTCTCCGCATACAATATACGTGTATTAACTTACAATTAAACAATTACGACGTGATAATAAAAACTTACATGTGTAATGAGAATTATCGTGACTTAATATATCTCATAATATTAATATATACATCATATGAAATACATATAACGTCGTTGTCGAAATTATACGATATTACAATGCAGCCAAGACACGTGATTCTTTGTGCTTGGCCTTTCAAGTCCTCAGGTATAAAGGCCCTCTTTTCACCAAGCACAGAGATACGCTGCCTTTGAACACTACATTCTTTGGAACGTTCTAAAACTGAATTATAGACGGCATTGTCACGGAAATTACTTCAATATTTCGCTCCCTGATAATACGTGCGCATCTTTCTTTTTTTTCCTCTCGTTTACATGAAGTTATTAAAGGCTGGCGTGAAGTGACTTAGATTCTCATATGCTGAACTATCAGCGATGAATATCGTTGAAATCTTGTAATATTCAGTTACTATATAGGCATTTACATTATTTGATAACGATGTGTTTAATGATACTGTGCTTTGATCGAATAACTTTTACAACATGAACTTTTCATATATTATTTTTATTATCATTTGTATATTTATTAATTGTAACTCAGAGTATAGCCGCGTAACACTCTCGGATCGTCTTTAATCGTTCGAAAATAGATCATGCTCAAGAAAAAGGAGAACAAAATATATGAAAAAATAAAATAACTCTCTTCCTTTACGAATTTTTCCAAACAGCTCAGCTATTTGAAAAACACTGACAAGAAATGAAATATGAAATTTCGAAGTTAGCAAAAAAAAATCACCTATTTATAATAACATTCTTAATAATTTCCCTTTTTCTTTTGGATACTCTTAGTATCTGTATACCCAACATTATTGTCAATCTGATAACCTGTATCTACATTTCGCTTCTATGTGTGATGCTAATACGTAATAATGCAAGCTTGCACAATGTCATTTATTATGATATACGAAACGTTGTCATGCAATTTAACAAGTTCACGGTGACCTCAACAAAAAGAAGATAGCATTACCGACCGAAATTTAAACGTTTTCCGATTTTCCCTGTTTACTCAATTCAAGAGCGAGAGCAAGTTCGGCATCTTCTTTCTCCTTACGCCTAAGCCTCTCTTCTTCCGCTTTTATACTCTGCATTTCCGCCCACGCAAGCTGCTCTTCCTCCGATAAATTACTTATGTTGTTACCGTTCCACGTCTTGCCGAAATTATTCGTGAGTTTTTCATCGTTATAAGTGACATTAGATTTTGAAGTGCGCATTACATTTAACTCGTGCCTCGAGGCTGTCTTTGCGTCTTTACTTGAAAACGCTTCATCGAGATTGACCGTTCTCGTCTTAACGTTAGCAAACGCTTGGGAAAAATCAGCTTCATTCTGAATGTTTTTATTATCAACGGAAAAAGCTTTCCCAAAATCGACGTCGAACTTGCTCGCGCTACTCGTGTCGCTCGTGTTGTTTTTCTCGGTTTTCGCTTTAGCGAGCGGAAAGGTATTAGAGAAATTATTATCGAAAACTTTAGTCGAAGTATTCTTACTCGAGAACGTGGAAATCGTCTCGAAGCCGAAAGGATCCGTTTTATCCGTTCCCTTGCTCTTGTTCGCATTAAAGTCCTCCGTCTCGTCGGCAAACGGGTCCGTTATATTGAAAGGGTCTTCGTAACGATAATCTCGAAAAGGATCCTCCGTAAAGTCCGACAGCTTTGGTTGCGCCATTGTTACGTGGATTTTACTCGTTGCTCTTGATGAAGCCATTCGATTAGCCGTGGGTTCTGGCTGAAGCAGGTTTTTGTCACTGGTCAATTTTGTTTTACTGAAAAGGCAGAAGAAAAATGACGCGAATACCGCCGACTGTCCTCCCCGGCTGCTGACTGGTTCTAGACTGCGCTACTCTTACTACGTCATAAAATTGAAAAAAAAAGTACTACAATTTTATGATATTCGAACCGCGTTTCAAGAAGAAACTATTAAACAATATACAAAGTTAGAAATCTTGTGTATCGTAAAGAAATTTTAGAAATTTAAAAAATCTAAAAAAATATTTTTTTCATTTTCTACTATTTTGAAAGCATAAATGTAGCTGGTATAAAAATTAATAATTGTAAATAAATTATTAAAATTACAAAATTTATATCCCAAGACTTTAAGTGCGTTTTTTTCATTACATATTTTATAAAACATTTTTGAAAATGATAATCATGATAACTCAAACACGGTTTAATCGAACAATTTAAAGTTTTAAAACAATATTTTTAGTAATATTTCACATTAATTTAGAAAGGCTTTTATCTCTTTCATTTTTTTCTTAAGTTATAACAAAATAAAGAATAAAATTTTTCAAGAAAACGCAATTTCCATGTTTAAACTAGTGTTGTTAAAAAAAAAATTTTTTTTAATTCCCTGTGTGAACTGAAAATAACAAGTGTAAAGCAAAATAAATACCTACTTATTTCAGATAATTTACCTAAAGCTATAATCTTGGCTACTATGAAGACGCGCACGGACTACAATAATTACTTATAGTGTCATTATTGTTTGTTATTTGAGAATTTTTGTTATAATTTTGCATTTTAATCTTATTATTAAAAATACGTTTTTTCAACAAAAAAAAATACTATTCGTCTGTCTCTTTAAATAAAAATTTTATGTAGTGTTGAAAAGTACCATATTTTCCAACAAGCTTTTAACGCGGTTCGAATATATCACAAAAAAAAAACAATATATTATATCACATAACAATAAACAAATATATTCATGCAATAATGCAAATAAAATTAAAATATCCTGAAAAGAAAAAGATAATGAACAAATTAATTTGCAGATATTCCAGAACAGCTCAACAATAGAAAAACTCAATAAATTGTGCAGCTTCTACCTAAATACAAAACAAAATAAAATATACAATTAGTATGTGTGTTGATACAAAAGAAAATTTGCGATATTCAAAAATTGCACATCTTTAATTAATTAATCTTATATAATATATTGAAAATTGTAGCTGCATATGCGTGTACATATACATATGTGCGTGCGTGTACGTGTACGTGTAGAGTAGGCAACTAAAAATGTTAAATCATTTTACAAAATATTTTAGCAAAAAAACTTTAGACAAAAATTATTTGATTTTGAGATCAAACAGTAATATTTTGTGACCTTGGATGTTATTATCAAAGATACATCAACATTATTTTGAATTTTTTTAAAATAAAAAACCCTTTTTGTGTTATATATTTTTTCAATTTCAATTATATTTAGATATTTACAAAATAAAAATACTTTAAAAACAAAAATAATTTTTAATAAAAAAACTTTTTAAATTGTGAGTCATGAAAATTATAGCACCATCGGCGTTAACATTATCTAAAATATATTATGTAAGAATGTGCTCAATTGGATTTCCATCTCTCTCTTCTTTCCTTCTTGCTTATTCTTCTCCCTCCTTCTCTTTCTCTGTGCATGCGTATGTGTACGAACGATGTATATACATACATTAGGTCTATTCTTTTTAATTGAACTGGCTGAACTAGTCTAGAGTTTATCTTTCTTCTTCAAATGTAGAAAGAGAAAGATAAATTGTGAACTAATGCAGCCATTTCAGGTAAAAGAAACAGGCCTATTATTAATTTAGATATGCAAAATGTTGCACTTTTTTCTTCTAAAAAACTTACAACCTACTTGACACAAAGGATCAATAAACTACAGTCAATTGTTCTTTTGTAATATTAGAATAGGCTCGTCAAATCCTATTTTTCATATAGAAATACTTCTCTCCTTCATATAGGAATACTTTTGTGTATGTGTGACATACAATTTTTTTCTCGATACAAATTATTGGTGGTAAGTTGATAAATATAGATAATAATTTATTGGTGGTAAGTTGATAAATATAGATTCTTCACTTGTCTTCCTTATTTTTATGTTCATTTTTAATAAGCTCTGATATTGTGAGATGCACCATCATATTACATTCATATATTTACGAGTATTCATAAGTATGTTCTTTATATAATTATAAAAAAATATTTTCTAAAAAATCTGACAATGAGTAAACTTCGCCAATTAACGGAATTTAAATGTAGTCTAATTATATAGAATCTTATTTAACTTGAGCTTAAATATCTTTATTGATTTAAATAAGAAAAATTTTAAAACTACAAGATTGTATAGTTTCCAGAGTGATATAATGGCAATATTGTTAACATGGAGCTTTATCAACAATTTGATATTTTTCCAAATGCCATATAAAATTTTTTTGACAATTAGAGTATACAACATATTCATTTTTTATAGTAAAATTTCTTTCGACAATATTATTTCTCCTAATAGTATAAACATCATATCAAAATAATCTTAATGTGGTCAATCTATTAATATAATCCGCGATATATGTATAATTATTTCTTTATTTATAATGATTATAATTGAAATCTCTTATAAAAAGTTATAAATTTAATATATGCAGGTCAAAATAGTACTTTTATTATTGTGTATATACATATATGGAGCATTCTCTGTCAAGCGGACTACCCCCTCTGCCTAAAATTCAGCTCAACCAAAAAATTGCTTCTTGGGCTCAAATTGTAGGTACACATGTCTACTTTCATTAGCACTCTGGCCTTTTTAAAAATTCAATACGGCGGATCCAGAATCGCGAAGAATGGACTGCCGTAAAAAAATTTTTAGAACAAACTTTAATTATTGGAAGCATAGAATTAAAGCACAGGGAGCTAGAAAATTTTTCTATTTCCATAAATTTTGAAGATCGCTGAATACAAATCCGCATAATTATAAAACAATGGCGAATCCAATATACCGGCTAAACTTAGCCAATCTTCAAATAACTCAAATTTTTTGCACAAAATTCACTAACAATAAACCAGAGTTTTTTGGGTTACCAATCATGGAATTTTATCATGGAATTTTTATTTAGTTATTAAAACAGGACTCGGGATATTGAATGTAATATGGTAGATGGAATATGACCAGTGCATTTCGCAATGTTCAAGTTGGAAGATTTTTTTGGTCAATCAATGTGTTGGTTTATTGGGCTTTTGATAGCAAATTATTAATCTTTACTTAAAGTTCAAGGCTGTTGAGCCAATATGGTAGATAAAATATGGAAATAATGGAATTTGCATTATTTGAAATTTGACCGGCATAATGATTCGCTATTGTGAATTTTATAATTATGACTGCGGATTCGTATTCAGCGATCCCCAAAACCTTGATTTATAGAAATAGAAAAATTCTCTAGCTTCCTGTGCTTCAGTAATTAAAGTTTGTTTTTTTTACGACAGTTCATTCTAGTCGCGATTCTAGATTCGCCATTTTGAATTTTCAAAAAGGCCAGAGTGCTAATGAAAGTAGACATATATAGGTACCTACAATTTGAGCCCAAGAAGAAATTTTTTGGTTGAGCTGAATTTTGGGCAGAGGGGGTTAGCCCGCTTGACAGAGAATGCCTCATATATATATATTAATATATATGCATATATTATAATGCAAGATATTCTTTCATATGTAAATTTTAAAAATAATTTTTTTCAAAATGTTATTGATATGATTAAACAGAGCAATTTTTATTATAAAACATTTTTTGATATTTCAAACAATTTTTGAAATAACAAAAATAAACCTACAAGGGATGGTTTCGTCTCTAAAAACTAATTTTTAACCCCAAGTCATAATTTCTAAATTCCTCTATTTTCATCTATATATTAAAATCAGAATTTGACATGTCGCGATATTTCCTTGTAACTGACTTGCTGGCAATCCCGAGAACAACAGTAAATGCTGGACTGATGTTGGAAGATGTATTCAGTGGCAAAGGACAAAAAACATATTAATAATACAGTTACTTTTAGTGAAACATTTAGGTTTTACGAGAAATTTCCATGAAAACTTAAAACAACATTATATTATATAAAATTTAAGAGGACTAAAAATATTTTGTTATATGATTATGTTTTGAGATAGTTTTTTTTTTAATGATAAAAATATCCCTATCGCACGCACACACGTATGCACACAGGTGTAAATTAAACTTATACAGCCTCTATATGTGGCATACCTTAGATAATGCAAATGCCAACGATGTCGTAACTTCCACAGTTCATAATTCAGGAAAATCTTCATAAAAAAGAGGTTTAATCATATCATTTGAAAATATACCAATGTCAGTTAGAACAATACGCAGCAAAAAATAAAAGTACTTATTTTAAAAATTTAAGGTAGTTCTGATGTGCTTTTGATAACAAAATTCAATCAATACCACAAAATATTATTCAACTTTTCAAACAATTTTTGGTTCAAAACATTAACATTTTTAACATTTTTTGTTAAGATACTTTATTTAAGAGATAAATGAATTTAACACTTTAGCTGCTTCTGTGTGTGTATTATGTATTATATGTTGTATTGTATATAAGATGTTTCATTTTTTATGCTGAAAATAAATATGTCGGAAGTTAAAGAAAATGAACTTTCAAAAAAAAATTGTATGACCTGAAAAAGAACAAATAATAAAATCAATTAAAAAAAAAATTAAATTTTTAACGTTACTCAAGGTCATCATTTTTAAAATATATTTTCCTTAATTTCCGAAATATTGGCCTACGTCATTTAAAGTGGAACATCTTGTATGGATATCTTGTGCGGATATCTTGTGTGGATATATATATAATCATCCGATAAGTTCTGCGGTTTTCTCACATCTGCGCGGATACCAGTTTGAATTTTTCGCTAATACTGAATGAAGAAGCCCAAACTTTAGATTGATAAGATAGAGCAGTCTTTAAATACTGCATCCATCCATAATGGCATATGTTCAGTATATTCGATTCTATTGTGCCTTAAAGATGGAGAATCAGAAATAATATTTTTGCAATATTATACTTTTCTACTTTAGGAAGGACAAAAACGCATGCGAGACAACGTGTAAAACTTGTAAAGTTTACAGACAAGATGACAAGATACTCTTTCTGATGATATAATTTAGACGTATTTTGTGAATTTCAACAAGGTGATTTCACTGTCAAAGACGAGGCGTGATCCTTGCACTGTGGATGATAATCTACTGGAGCAAGCTATCGCCGAAATCCTCGTTATACAGTACAAGAACTGGCAGAAAAATTAAAAATTGCAAAAAATACCGTACATGACAACTTGAACCTGTCCCCGTGAAAACTACAGAACTTTTCGGATTATCCAATATATATATAAATATAAATATATATATATATATATAGATATATAATATATGTATATGTATATAGCTTATTTGCTACGACATAAGTTAAAAAAATTGTCATTTTTTTAATTGATTACAAAAATAAAAACATAAAAAAAAGAACGTACTTTAGAAAAATATATTGTTATTTCTCTACAATCAGTCATTATACCAAAACTGTATTTCGAAATTAATATTCCAAAATTTTAATGACTTAAAACATTCAAACTTATTTTCTGAAAAATTTTATTTTCTGAGTTGCCATTATTGTAGCAAATAAACAATATATACAATGTAATGCTAAGACAATCAAATGTTTTACTGGTTCTGACTTTTATCTCGTTCTATTGAATTTATTTATATATTTATTTATAGATTTAACGACGAAAAAGTTCAATTTTACTCAAAATCAAAACTAAAAATCTTGTGTGAACGCATACTAGCATACATAATTTTATTTTCTAATTAAACCTAAAATATTCCACTTTATAAACATAAAATATTTGTAAAATAGTCATCTATACATTAATATGTACAAAAATATAATTATTATTGATTTATTTTACTTCAGTATCTTCAAGTTATGAGAATAAAATGTTTGAAACATATGTTTTATTAATATAAATCATAACTACTTATAAAAAATATTAATTCTTATCACAGATAGACATGTGATATATAACTGATAAAGGAATGATTTTATAAATGCGAAAAAAATTGTCTTCTGATGTTTGTATACACATAGGATGTTGTAGAATACTCATATAAATGATATTCCAATTAAAAAAATACAGACAACTTATAAAATATTCTTTGCACAATCTTACCATTACTTTTAATTGCAATATGATGAAAAGTGACTTATATAAGAAAAAAGCATGATTTCATTATAGAAGTAAGTGTCCTAAAAATCCAAAGAATAACTTCATTTAGGACAAAAATATATATATTCTTTCAAATCAATTTCTGTTTGAAACATTTTTTGCCAAAAATTTTATTATTTTCAAGTTATCTGTATTTTTTAAATTGGGGTATCATTTATATATAAGAATCCTACATCATCCTATATGTATACAAACATCAGAAGACAATTTTTTTCATATTTATAAAATCATTCCTCTATCAGTTATATATTACATGTCTAACAAGGAAACACAATTTAATTAATTGACCCTCTTCGATTTTAATGAAATTTGAATACAGTGAGATATATACATACTGGAATGAGCCTTGGGATGGTGGAGATGGCTGAACTCTGCAACAGTAGTGCGAGAGTGATAGCCATGCAGCTTAGGGACGTCTCACTTTAACGACATCATTGAAGTGTGACAGACGTCCGTAAGCTGCATGACTGTCACTCTCGCACAACGGCTACCTCCACCACGCGTTTTCTTAGGGAAGGCTCACTCCAGTATGTATATATCTCATTGTTTAAATATAAAATATAGACAAAAATAAAGTAAGCATATTTTTTTACATGTGCTAAGTCGCACGTTAAAGGAATAATATCCAGGCTTGAAAAGAAAATAGATTTTTTTTTTCTTTCTTAGTTAATATCATCTGAACCATCAAAGATATGAAAAAATGTTTTAAACAAAAGTTTTACTTCAAGTGCGCTTTACAATAGTGCATTTTAATTTAAAAAAAAAATCATTTTTCACTACCTCCATCTCTCACCTTTAATTTTCAAAAATTTTTGAAATTTGTATAAGAACAAAAATTAAAGCGCACTTTACTCTGAAAACAACAGTGTATGATATAATGAAGATCAGATAACGCATCTTTGAGAAACTAGAACCTTTTAACGTGCGATTTAGCACATATAAAATAAATATGCTTAAACTTATTTTTATTTGTATTTTAACATATCCAAAGCTCGTTAAAATCGAAGGGGGTCAATTGGTTGTGTTTCCTTGTAAGAAAGTACTAGACGATATAAAAAATAGTCAAGTGTTCCTGGGTTTTACAAAAAAAAAAAAAATTTATTAAAAAAATACTGAAAATATTGAAGAATAATGTGCCATTGAAATTAGTACAAAAAGAAGATAAAAGAAAATAATTACAAAAAACCTATTTAAAATAAGGAATAGTATTAATACATACCTTAGAATCAAAATTGGCGAAGTCGGCGAATCCGGAAGATGTAAAGCTATTGTTGTTATCAATTGTTTGCTGAGCACTAAATGGATCTGAATTTGCATTCGCAAATGGATCTGGAGTGGGTGAAGGCGTTGGAGGTGCAGGTGCTGCTCTCAATGGGCCAGTAGGACCTTGACTCGGTCGTGGTGGAGCTGGACGCGGCGGTGGCTGCTTTGCTTTTTTTGGCGGAAGAGCGGGACTAGGGCTCTCGGGACGAGGAGGAGCGTGAAGATTGGCAAAGGGATCTTCTCCAAACGGATCTTTCGTGTTCTTAACAGAAAAAAAAACTGTTGTTCTTATCAACATTTTAATAAAGTATGAAATATATTAAGTACAACCAAATATCCATATCCTTAAAGCTATTAATTACTAGGCCTGTTTTTTATAGCTGAACTGCTGCACCAGCTCACAGTTTATTTTTCTCTTTCTACATTGGAAGAAAGCTAAACTCTGAAATAGTGTAGCTAGTTCAGCTACAAAAAAACAGACCTACTTTTACATTCTCTCCTGCGCTATTTCTCGACTTTCTTTGCTATTTGCCATTGTCATTGAAAAAAAAAAATCTAAGAAATGTTGGAAGTAAGATTGCTTGATCCAAATGTGTTAAAAATATGGAGATTTGATGTTCACAAGCAAGTAAAATTTACATACCAATGTTGTAGGCGTTTTAGCGTCAGCTCGTTTTCCATTGCCAAATGGATCAAAAGGATCTTGCTTTGCCACCACATTGGTATTATCGAACGCAGTAAAAGGATCTGCTGCAAAACCATTCTGGGATGGTTTCTTTTTATTAGTAACCATGTTTACAAGATAAAAGATTAAAAT